CAAACAGATGCTCTCTTGGTGCCACCAAGATCCGCACCCTTCGGTAGTAAATGCTGAACACCGACGATAAATTCGATAGGAACGATACCAAATGCTGTGGATTAACATTGCCCAGCTCCACGCCCTTAATGCAGCTCTGTACCATATGTGGATACTGTAGAATATAGACATACAGCAGCTCCCATTCTTCTGGCTGTTTCAGCAATGAAAAGTCGATTTGGTCCAGCGCTGGCAGATCTGGGTAAGTCCCTTGCTGGACTTTGAGGTCAAACTCTTTGAGCAGAATGGACAATCGGGCGCAGTTATAGAAAATAAAAGCCGGCCCTTTGTTACAGTTGCCCAAGTTATCAAGAGTAACTTTCACAGACTTCTGAGGCTTGTTGCTTAGCAGCTCTACGCTGACTGAAGCCCTGCCTAGATGGGTGAACAACTCTTTCCACTCTTGGGCTGATTGTATGTTCACTCGGTATCGATGCTGAGCCATCAGCCTCATGTCGGTTACTCGTTTTTGGAAGAAATCTCGGGCAGTGTGCTCAGTATCTTTCACTCCCTGCTCGTTCAATACTGGTCCGCACAGAATGCTGGCGTTGGAAACAGTAGAAGCCTCAACATTGTTAACCAGAGCAACAACCACACTGTCTGCAGGCTCGGACTTTGTGGAGAGTTTCAGCAAGTTCTCTATAGTGGCCTTTAGGATGGAGAGCCTCAAAGTGGTGAGATCTGCCTGATCTAGATCACTAACTGTTTGATAGGTTGTGGTTGCCGTTGTTATCCTAATTACTTGATTGAATAGTTTTACCCTTCCATACTGGCCAGCTTCAGCTAAAGCGCGTTTAACTGCATAGTTGAAAAGGGGCGCCCGTTCGAGGAACAAGTGGGCACTAGTCTTGATGCACTTGTGGGTCCGTATTTGGGCTTTCAAGCCACGCAGGCATTCCTGAAATAGCCCCAACGCGATGTCTATATCAGCACTAGCGAACTGGTGAACTAAACCAGGCGCCCCTAATTCCCGACTTGCACTCCTCTGGATGATATGGCGCCAGACCTTGCTGGAAAGGGGCAAGCTCACATCCCCCAGCTTTTCTAAGCATCTGCTGTGCTTCTTTATCATGGTGTCTTCATCCTGGGGTCTTACGCCTATGACCAGTTGGTATAATGTGTTGATAAGCTCAGTTAGAGGGTCCATTTCAGCATTTTAAGCCTCTATTTACAAACAATGGGAGAACTAACCTCCAAATACAAAGCAAACATGGCCTTGGCAGTTCATCAGCGTAGCCAGATTTCCAATCAGAATAAATTAATTTAGCGAAAACACTTTCCTCTGGTGGTTATTAAAGAATTTGAGTCCCGTTCTAGATTGTGATTGAATAATTTTTAAACACTATTAACCTTAGATGGGATCACGTAATTGATCAGGATATAAAAATTGCAACATTCAGCAACACACTACAGTAACACTTGGCATAACCTTGCTACTTGACGTCATCTATGGGCATAACCTTGCTTTTTTATTTTCTAACTCTTTGATGTAGTGGTAAACAATAGAGCAAAACAATGTCGCATTATAAAATTCAAACTATCCCGCATAATTTAAGCAAAGAGGAAACCATCGTCCAAATGGTGGAAATTCTCGATCATCTGGACGCTATCACCCAAGATGTGTTTTCCAGAGTGGGCAAAAGGTTGGAGGAGAACAATGCAAAGTTATCCAGCATATTCAAGCGAATAGATGCTGCCTCCGCCAAAGTGGCCAATCTGAAAGGGGATAAGAAGGCGAAAACCGTATTTTCCAGTAGTAAGTATCCGGCGGCGGATATCAATAGGGACTATGTGTCCATTTTCAAGGAGCCCGTCACGGTTGAAAGGGTGCGACATGAAGTGCCCCATGGAAAGCGCGTATCCACCTTTGAGCCTGTGTCAAAGTTGCAGTTTTACCACGTTAAAGTGCCCGAGATGAACAATAATCAAGTGCCAGAAGGGCTCGGGGATGTACCAAATGATATCAGCTGTGTAAACGACCTGTTGCTGTTCAACACCGGCAAGAATGTGTATAAGGATTTCAAGCCTAACGACTACTGCAAAAGCCCAACGATTATCAGGCAGAAAGACAATTACGCTACTTCAGAACTAGGGGCTGCGCCCGTTTCCATAAGCCAGAGAGCATCAATGCAGCAGGCGAATAAAGACAGTTACTTTTACACTCCGAAAATCGAACAATTACCTGCCTTGGATGTGCCTTGGGATTTGCCCAATCTGCCAGGCATAGCTGACGATGTTCGGTATGAAGTCGAAGGCTCTGAAGCTGCGATCATCAGCCCATCGGCTGTTAACAGCAGTCAAGTGGTAGATGTGGATTTGCCAGACATTTCCACTTTTACAGCAGTGGAAGTTCCTTCACCGCCCCCACCTCCACCTTTAATAGATATTCCATTGCCACCACCGATAGAGCAGATGCCAGTAGAAGCACAAAAAACTGCCCAACCAGGTATGTTTTATTTAAATTATTGAATTAACCCTTGTTAAATTGACAATTTTTTTTAACTTTTAGATAAACCCCCATCGGTTCCTCAACCGCCAGTTCACATGGCACCGCCACCGCCCGTTCACATGGAACCGCCTCCGCCAGTCCCAACACTCCAAAGTGACCCCAGAGCCAGTCTGATGGATGCAATTAGGAAGGCTGGGGGCTCCAAGGTTCTACGGAAAACGAATGAGCAGTCCCAAGCTAGTGCCCCCAAAGGGGGCGACTTGATGGCAGATTTGCATCTGAAGCTGCAGATGAGGAGGAAAGGAATATCTGGGTCTAAACAGACTGATCAGGGACATCTGGGAGGGGCTGACTCTGCATTTGCCAGAATGTCTTCGATCATTCCTCCACCTACCAAAAGCAGCGATATGGGCAGCAGTGTTTCTACTGATGATGATGATGATGATGCTTGGAATGATGATTAAATTGTATAAGATAGTATTATTATTGAATATATATTTTTTGTAAATAGCAAATTTAATAGTTACTTTTAAACTCCCTAAAATAGTTTTTGCTTCTACAAGAAATGTTCCGATTGATTTTTATGAGATTAAAGAAAATAAAATTATCATGGGTATACTTCCAATGCACGCCCTATTCTATAGTTGACAGCTATCTCCTTTCTCATGAATGCAGGCATTTAAGGTTAGATCCAATTGTTTTGACTTGTTCAAATGTTGACCTTCTGAAATTATTATCTTCTAACAGCAAAAATCCACATTGTCACCCTATGAATATCCAGTGTTTTCGCCATGACTTCAACAAAGATCCAGTTTTTGGTCCAAATGACCTGCGAATCCTGCGTAAAGGCTGTGAAACAGAGTTTGCAAAACGTACCAGGAGTCAACGACGTTGAAGTGAATCTAAAGGAAGGTTCCGTAGTTGTGGATAGCATTCTTCCTACTCTGGAGGTGCAAAAAAAACTAGAGTCTACAGGACGTCCGGTTGCCATTAAGGGTACCTTCTAGCTTTCCCTGTAGAACCATGAACTAGAAACCTCGTTTTCTATAGGGTATGATGGAAGCATTGCAGCAGTCTCAATCCTGGAAGCAGGAGAAGAAAGCATCAAAGGCGTAGTTCGGTTTGTTCAGGCCTCTCCAAACACCTGCATCATTGATGGTACCATTGATGGATTGGTGCCTGGGGAGCACAGCATTGAGGTGCATGAATGTGGGGATTTGTCTAGAGGTGTGCTGACTGTAACAGCCCCAGTTACTTGTTTAAGCTTACATTATTTACGGTTGCAGGTTGTGAAAGTGTCGGCAAGCTGTTCAATCCAGTGGGCTACGCCGGCAAAAGAAATTATGGGTCTTTGGGGCAAATAACAGCAGAACGAAATGGGAGGGCTGCCTTTCGGATTGAGGATAATGTCTTGAGACTATCAGATGTTATTGGACGATCTTTGGTGGTTTCTTCGCAGGTAGTTTATAGCCTTTGATACATTCAGATAGAAATAGCTTTTGAAATTAGCCAGAGTTATCCAGTTACACTATTCCC